ATTATTAAAGATAAATCACTATGGGAAATGGAAAACTGTAATTTGAACAAATAATTACACAAATTATTAAGATAAATTAGTATAATATTGGAAAAAGGAAATTATTGGTTAGTTTATATTAGAAATTATACGATAAATTAGTATAATTCAGTTAAAAGTAAATAAATTATTTAATCAAAATTTAAATAAATTTTCAAAATTACACAAGTATAATAAATTTTCCAAAATTTTCATAAAACTACATTTTTGAATATTAAAGACAATTTAGTCTACTTTTAGAAATTTACCAAGTGGTTGATACTCAATATATCCTTTTAATCATTTATACCATCAAATTGAATATTGAGTTGGCGGGGATAGTGTTTTCAAAATTGGATCAAACCAGATGGTTAGACTAGAAAAATTGGGAATCGGACACCGTTTCACCTCAAAAACCACTTTTTGTCCAAAAACCGTTTATTTGGTTAGCGAACCACTAACCTGGGCGATTGAGCCATCAACCTAGACAACAGTTTTTTGGCCTTTTTTTGTTTTTCTAGTTTATTATTATTATTATTTTTTTGTAAGAGTGGGTCATCCGTTCGGACCGAACAATCGGATAGTTTAAGGCCATAACAGTTCCCTATTCGGTCCAATTTTTAAAACCTTGGACGTGGAGTGGGTGCCTTGCCTTGATCTTGGCTTGCTGTGCGGCATTGCCTAGCCCAAGGCCCGGCCCATGGACCAGCCTGACCCATGACACAGCATGGACCCATGCGGGCTCGGGCTGTGGGCCATGCCGAACCAACTGCTAAATTATCCTAGAGTAGGGAGGCACGGCCTGGGACGCCTTGTGGGCCAGCATGGCATGACTCGCACTTTGTGCGGGCCACATGCGGGTCGTGTCGTGCCAATCCAACATGACCCAATTTACACCTCTACTTGATCCCACCCAATATTAGGGACGGGACAAGGAAATTCGAGGATTCTCCATCCTTGATGAGGAATGAGGTGTCTTGCCCCTGAACTCGCCTAACATTGAGGAGTGGTTACCTTGCCCTGAACCCGTGTGACACTGTGGACGGGGCAGGGATGAGGTAGAGTGTCTTGACTATGGGGTAGGGAAAGGGATGGGGTGCCTTGCCCTGAACCCACCCCATTATCATTCCTATATAATTATTAATTATTAGTGGAATTAATAAAAATATTAGCTTTTATAATTATTTTTATTAATTTAAAGTTAATCAAAATTTCATTTAAAAATAAAAAAGAATAAAAATTATTAAAATTACTACAAATTATTAATAAAACTAAATTTATTAAAAAATATTTGTTCATATTCAATTAACAATAATTATTTTTTATAACCCTGCTAGTTATATTATTAAATCAAATCACTTTAAACTCCTAATTAGCCTGCAACCCCAATTTTATTTTTTGTATTTTTCAAAAACACAAGTGAAACAAAACACTTGTAAATTGAAACCCACTTGTGAAACCCTCCGGCGCAAACACCCACATAGACAGTTCGGCAGTTTCCCATTGAAAATAGAAAGTAAAAGTTATAGAAGCAATGAAGCATTACTATTTAAGGAGAAGTAGTAAAATAAAAATGCCGAGAATGCAATTCTAAGTATCTAGGTACGGTACCTTTTCATTTCCATTAATTACTATTTGAGGAGAAGGTAAAAATGCCCCTCAAAAAATTAGAGATGCGGGGTATCCATCCCCGTACCTCTCGCATGCTAAGCGAGAGCTCTACCATCTGAACTACATCCTCTTAATACAGTCTACGTTCTCTTAGACATCATTTGTTAGCTAACATTTTCAATGTATTATTACTCTCGCCATGCCCAACTTTCAAGTGATAAACTGCCTCTTTTTCTTCATGTTTGTTCAGTTTATACTTTTGTTATTTCAATTGATAAACTGTTTTTTTTTTCTTTTTTTTTTTAATAAAAAAATGAAAAAAACCAAGAGAATAAAAAAAGAACCGTTGATTTTTTTCTTCACTTCATCAAATGATTTACACAAGGTTACAACATCCATACAATAAATCTTTTCAAATAACCTTACAATACAACCACCCAAAAGTATCTAAATCTTGAAGTGCATCGGAGATGCAATTTTAAGAGATGTATTGGGATGCATCTTGGATATTCATATCTATCAAAGAAAAATTAAGGTGGTATTTGGCAAGTCTTTTTGTATGGTATTTTGGGCCTTGGCAATCTCGAAAGACCGAAAATCAATCTTTTTCCATTTGGTAATCAAAAGCTAGGAAGATGAAAAGACTCATGCACAAAAAGACTCAGAAAGATCGAAAACACCGAATTTCAACAAGCTTCAAATGAAACTTTTCTAGTCTTTTGCATGATAAATAGCCTCTAAACATGTTTTTAAAGCCTGGATAAATCAAGTTGCTTACCAAACAGTCTTTTTCTTTAAAGACAATACCCGAAAAGCTCATTATGTTCTTTGGCCATCTAGGATGTTGAAAGATCTTTCTAAAAGGACTTGCAAACGACACCTAAGATATGCACAAATACACATGAAAATACTATAAATGCTTCAATAAATCATAAAAATACATCAATAACACTAAATATAAGACATCAATGAGGTATACATACATTAATTTAATATATTTTAATGGTTTTATGAAGAAATACATCATCACCAATTATTATTTCATTAAAAAAATCATATGATTAACTATAATTTATAAATTATAATTCATAAGTTTTAAGGGATGAACAAAATCCAACTATCCTATCCAACCATAAAACATGCATTGGCAAACTTCTAAGTGAAAATATAATTAATAATTATTTTCTATTGAAATAATTATAATTTAGTTTTTATTTAAAAAAATACAAAAAAATAAATATTGTACAATATATTCCAAACAATAATTATTGAAGAAGAATTATCAATTGGTCTATGGATATGCTAGATCATCCATAGATCTATAATATATTCAATCCTTATGATTATATCATAAAATATAATTAATTATTATTTATTTTTTAATTATAAAATATATAAAAATAAAAAAATATTAAAGTAGAAATTTCAATTGCTCAATTGGATATGATAGATAATCTATATATCTAAAACATATTAAGTCTTTATAGGTAAATAAAAAATACATTTCTATTTTTTTGTTATTTTATAATTTCCCAAATCTCTTCATAAAATTTTCATATGTTTATTCATAACACACAAAAAAAAATTGTGATTTTGAACATAAGAAATGTAGGTCAACATAGATTTAAACATTTTTCAAGCATTCAAGCAAAAAAAAATACAATATATTATGAAAAATTGATTGAAGAAAATTACCTATTTTTTGCAATATTTTCAAAACTTGAAAAGTCTTCAAAAACATTTATGATCCAAAATTGTTTCTTGCATTTTTCATTTTTGCATATCTAGCACTCTAGGAATGAGGCTTGGAGTTTTAGAATCAATGAGGGGGGTGAAAGAACCTCCCCGAAAGAAAGCTTTTCCTCAAGGTTTTTAAAACTGAATCGGACAATGAACTAGTCAGGGTCCGGTTCCTGGGCCAAATGGTCCAACCGTTTAAATCGAACAAATGGCCCGTTCTAACAAAAATAAAAAAATAAAAAACAGCCAAAATTGTTAGACGGTTTGACCACCTGGGTCAGTAGTTTGCTGACCAAATCAATAGTTTTTGACAAAATAACGGTTCTAGGGTAAAACGGAACCGGTCAGGTAATTGGTTCCCAATTTTTTTGGTCCGACCATCTAGTCTGGTCCGATTTTGAAAGCCATGATTTTCCCTTTTTATTTTATTTTTCGTTTTTATCTATATCTTCTTCATAACGTATTAACTGGTATACTCGGTGTATCACTTATACACCCTCGATACGATCCAATATGGGTCTAATTCAGTAGCAGAAAAAGAAAATATCACCAATTTTCCACGTATCTCATATTAAACTTTAATAATACCCCTTTCAACCTGCAGATTAACATACAAACAACCCTCTATGTTGATGGCAATAACCCCACCCCAATTCCAACACAACCAACAAGAATACTGAAATATTGCACAACCAACGAGAATTGCCAACAAAGATGAATCACCTGACTTCTCGTGACCACTCTACTTCATAAGGTTGTATTTGGTTGCATGAAATTTTATTTGTACTAATACACATCATGAGAGTGTAAATGAAAAACATGCAAATTCTTATTTAATTTTGTTTTGGATTTTATTTTATTCTACTTTATCTCTTAATTTACATCATGTGTACTGCAATCAAATAAAATAAATTAAAATTTGCTTCAAAAACAGGTCAAATTTTACACTAAAATCATTTGCACTACTATAATTTTGCACCAATACAAATTTGCTTGCATTGTAACCAAACACAGCCTAAGTGTTTGAGCAGCAATCAGTGCACTTGGAGAATGCCCAACCATCAATTAACAATGCAACGATAAAAAGATGACCAAAACTTTAGACCATCTGGATTCTAGAGAAATCAAGTAACGGGGAGTCCTACCTAAGGTTCATATCTATTTGTAATTCAATTCAAATAAGAAAATCTAAATTCAATCAAGGTTTAAAATTTTCATTATATACCTATTTAAAAGTGTTTAGGGAACCTTTTAAATAGAACTGTTCTGGGCACCGGTTTCCAAGTCAACGGTCTGATCATCCGGTTCGAATGAATGGACTGTTATAACAGTAAAATTAAAAAAATAAAAAATAATTAAAAAATGATAAAAAATTATTGAACGGGTCGATGGATCAACTGCCTGAATCAACAGTTTATTGACTTTTTCAACGATTTTTTATCAAATTCTGGATTTGGAATAAAACGGAACCGATTGTTTAGACGGTTTTTGGACCAAGCGATCCGACCGTCCGGGTCAACGGCGGTTCGAAAACGTTGTTGAATTCAACATTTTCAAGAAGAGGAAGCCATTACCCTCATTAGATATAGATCGATGTGAGACCCGGCTGGGCCTCGACACAAAAGCTAGGCCCAAGCCCGGAAAATTTCGGGCTGAACTGGGTTGGAAATGATCACCCCCGAGAATAAGCTAGCAGCAAGGATAGCAAGTTGAGCGACGGCTACGAGTAGCGGTGGGAAAACAAATATGATTTTCTCCCCACTTGTAGGATATAGGCTCATATAGCTTCTTCTGCTGCTGACTGTAGAGGATTAATTAGGGTTTCAATCTCGTTTGGCGCTCTTTCAAAAACATTCCAAACCGAAACCTAATTCCGTATAGTTCGATTCTGGAGGAATCAAATTGCGCTCTCTTTTGGATCTCGCATTTGCATGGAATAGCGTGATGACAGGGCAATAATTGGGGAGATGAAAATTCAGATGTAAGTAATGTTTGAGCTCAATCACTTTCTGAATTTTAAGGAGAAGCATTGCATTTCATCTTAAACAACTGTATAGTTAACATTTTACAGTTTTATTTTAACAAGATAGAAATTTAGTGGATTTGAAGAAGAAAATATTTGCTGTTGAATCCATAGCGATACCCATGTAATACTCTGTAGAGGAGAATTGATTATTCTTTTTGTTTCTTTTTTTTTTTTTAAATATGTTACCTAGTCGAGTTTTCTTAAATGAGTTTCACCTTACTTAGATCATGGGCATTATTTTCGCAGCCCAACTAGTTTATGAGTGGACGTTAATCACAGACATAAACAATATAAGTCATTTTTTATTACTTCTGGTTCAGTGGGGCTATTGATTCATTGGGCAGTGATTCAATCAAGGTTTCAACTTTGATGTCGCTTATTAACCTTTGTATTGCTGTCAGTGGGGTAATAATACCATTTCAAGATGGGTTTATAACCATGGGATCTGGTTGTGATTTTATCTCGTCTAAAAATGGTGGACTGTGAGTGGTTAAGTAGGCGTCAATCTGATCATGCGGATTCCTTATTTGAATTAAAATCCTTATTTTTTATTGGTCAAATACTAATTTCTGTTTGCTTTCTTCAACCTTTTATTGGAGGATGCTGGCTTGAAACCTTGATTTTGTTTACCTGGATTCTGGTTGCTGAATTACACTTTGTATTTCAGAAAAAAATGAAAGGTCAAGGAAGTTATGTGCCACCACCTTATATTCCATTGGGACAGTCGGAGGTAGAAGAAGATGGCGTTAGACAGAGTGATGAACTTCCTGCTCAACGTCAGACAAGTGATGGTCCTGAGCAGTGGTCTTCTGGGATCTGTGCTTGCTGTGATGATATGCAGAGTTGTATGCTACTCTCTGGCCTACACCCTTGTTAACCTACACTGATGCATTAGACATACATACACATATCTGTATTTAGCTTTCAGCTATGATACCGGAAAGACATAATACTGAAAGTCTTATAACCAATCAACCAGTAACAGAAAAGTGGTAACCAATCAGGTGGCTTCCGGTATCATACCTTTTCAGCACCGTAGATTTACCCTATACCTATTCCTATATCTATATATATGATTTGCAACTTGACCATTTTGACAAGTTAAGAATACTTTTAGCCCTTTGTGGTATATGTTCTAATTAGTAAACAGGACAGTTGAAATTGCCATTTAACTGTTGAACTGGTACATGTTCTATGGAAGCTGGCACCTTTTTAATGGTTCACTTCTAGATTGAACATTTTTAAATCATACCAATTGGATGTTCTAGTTGCCCAACTAGCCGTGCAGGCTCAGGACACTCATATAACTGAGGGAAGATGTACCAGGAAACTGTTTATTTATCATGACCATATCAGATAATTGTCTCAATAAGTATAAGATCTTGATTAATGGTACATGCCCAAATTGGATGACTACTATGTCAAACGTTTTACTGAATACAGATTTATGATTGTCGTCTGAATCTTTGGTTTTGCTTTTATTTCATTTCAATCAGGAGCAAAGGAGACACATGAAGATTGGTCTTTCATTACCCTGTCATTTGATATTTGGGATTCATTGAGGACTTATGTTTGACCCACTTTTAAATTTTATTAAATGTTCATCATTCTTTTGGAAAAAAAGTGTTTGAAATTGCCATATCATAAGCTAATGCAAACCTAATGTTGTACCTCTTGATTCATTTCTCTCTCCAAACCCAAATCCTCCATTTACCATATCATATCGGACACTTCTTTCCATACATACCCATTAAGTCTCTTCCTATAAAAATTTTCTCTTCATTTGGGATTCATTTCTAGAGAACACCCTAGTATGAGCATGGAAAGACAAATCAGGATCCGTATCATGAGAGTTTGCAAAAGTTTTAGTGCCGGATGCCAACTTGACGCACTGTCCTTTATCCGGGCTTGGGACCGATAGTGTAAGATAAGCTCACACTGGTGGAGTTTCCTCCATTTCCAGTTTTCCACATAATATCATAAAAGGAAAATGGAGAAAAAGAAATACTTAAAAGATTTCATCAAATGAACTATTTTTACTGTGATTGCTTCAATGATGGCTTTTATACTTTTTTCTTGACCTTTGAAGATCCTTATATTCCTTTCTTCCCTCATTGACCAAACCATTTCTGCTCTTGTGCATCCCCAAATACCCTCCCTCTCTTCCTTGGCCATCTAAAAGTGGAAGATGCGAATAGACTTGCCAAATGCACAGGGAAGTCCATTTGAAAACAAAAAGAGAGAAATGCCATTCCCAATTCCCAAATACTAATGGAAAATGGATAGGAGATTAATAGTGGTAGCAAGACACACCACTATTTTGCAAAGGAAGCAAATGTGGAGATAAGGACCCATTAGGCCTTTTTTCTAAAGATTGTTGGAAGTATCAATCTTTCCGTGGTACACCTCCCAACAAAAATTCTCAATCTTAGGAGGAATAGGAAGGTCAAGGTTAAGGTCAAAAGGAGCAGAGGAACTTATGAATTACCAAGACTAGCATCTTCACAGAAGTGGCTGAGATGTGGATGGTGACTTCTTCCTTCTTTGATACACCTACAACTCCTTACTAGGACTAACACTAAGATGCTTAGAATTAGGATTGGGAACTATAATAGGAAGAGGAAAGGCAGCAGACTTGAAATCACTTGAAGATAAGAGGTTTTTTATTTGGCAAATAGATGTGTGCTCTGTGAGGCTGAATCTGAAATTGTGATGCATCTGATGGTGGACTGCAGCTCTTTTAGATGTATTTGGTTCTTCTTTCGACTCTTCAAGAGGGGTGGGCTCCTCAGGTGCCTAAGGAAATCTTTGAGCAGTGGCCAGTGATTATCGGGGGAAAGAAAGCTAAGATTATGTGGAGCTGTGTTCCCTTTAAGTTTGCTGGGAAGTGTGGAAAAAGAGAAATAGATGAATATTTAATGGTAAAGAGAAGTGCAGGGAAAAATTGTTTGCTGCAATAGGTTCAAGGTTGTTGGATTGGATGTTGGTTTCCAGATTTTGAAGACTCAAAAAGAGAAGATTTTTTTTTTCTCATTTTTAGAACACTTTGAATATATGCTAATTGTACTGAGAGTGTTTTGTGATCTCTTAGTATCTGTGGGTGATGACTTGTCACCTGGCCCCTCTACATTTCTTCTCTTCATTAATGAATTTTCTTTTATATTTATCTTAAAAAAACAGACTCAAGGATGATAGAAGGAAGAGGAATAGGAAATGGATCATTCTCCTCTTGTGTAGAAAGATCTGAAAAGTCATAAAAGATAACATCCATGGAAACAAATCTCCTCCCAATAATAGGTCCAACATAGCAATATCCCTTTCAGTCAGAAGCAAATATCAATAATGTGCACGTAATAGATTTGGGACCAAACTTGTATATATGAGGACCTAAAACATGAACAAAATAAGGCAGGATTTCTTTTGGCAAGATCTTGATGAGGTGCAGAAATTGCATTTGGTTGCCTGGGACAAGATTTTTCAACCTAAGGAGAAAGGCAGCATTGGCATCAGGAAGCTGAAATTGATGAATAAAGTAGTGCTGTCAAAGTGGCTTTGGCGTTTTGGGGACGAGCAATCTCTCTTGTGGAGGCAGGTGATAGAGGGTAAATATGGATCTGCTCCTATGGGTTGGGAATCACTAGTGCCTTCTCAATCTTATGGTTCAAGCCTGTGGAAAGGAATTTTGAAGCTAAGGCAGGATTTTGTCATCAACGTAAGGTTGCAACTTGGGATTGGTGAAAGAGTTTTCTTTTGGACAGATGTTTGGTGTGGTGATCATGCTTTATGTGATATGTTCCCTAGTCTGTTCCAAATAGCTGACGATTGACATATTTCTGTCAAGGAGGCTATTGATTGGTCCAGTCCAGTGGGTGTGGGTCCAAACCCTTTCGAAAGACAAAAGGGTTTGGACCTTGGAACAATCGTTTTTTTCCTAAATCCTGCTATAAAGCTTTTTTTTTGGTTACCTCAGTAGGATTGATTGGTGCTGGATCTGGCAAGCAAATGTTCCTTTCAAAGTTTTTTTTTTTTTTTGGTGTGATCTGCTGGCTGGTATTGCATTCAGACTATGGATTTACTAATCAGAAAAGGGATGAATCTGGATAATAATTGCTACCTGTGTGGCTGTGGCTGATCTATTATCTTCTTGGAGAGTAGGTGGTTTCTTGCATAAGCAGGATTCTTTGGGAGCAGTTACCCTGGGAGGTCTGGAAACAGAAGAGCTGCAGGGTTTTCCAAAGGAAACTTTCCTCTCGTGAAGTTCTGATGAACAAGATAGAGCAGTTGTAATCAGATGGGCTTGACTGCTGCCTCAGTTCTTAGTAGTTTCAGAAGCAGATTTTACTAATGATTGTAACTCTATTTTTTGTGATTATTATTTATTATTGTATATCACTGTACATGGCTACATGCTATAGTGATACCTTTTGAGAAGTTTTTGTCATACTTGTATAGTGGAGAGTGCCTTGCCCTCCCTTTTCATTTTTATATTATAATACAACACTTTACCATTTATCATAAAAAAACATGGTAAGTACATCCAAAGACATTGTCTCTAGAATGGAGCACACTAAATAGAATTCTGGAACCAAGAACACATGAAATCTATCAATAAGAAAAGTAGCTGTATGGATAGCGTCACCCCAAAAATGAATAGGAAAAACTACTGAACGTAATTCTCGTTGAAACCTCAGGATGTCTATTCTTGCACTCTGCCACCCGGTTTTGGGCTTTCCAAAACAAGGAAAATAGTAACATTTTTCAGTGGCTCACTAGTCATGGGCCTTGGGCCTAAAGAAGATTAAGAGGTGTTTTTTTAATAAGTAAACACACTTATTTATTAAATATTAAGATAAGCATTACAAACATCCCACAGAGGCATGAGGTGTTACCTCTACACAAACTTAATAAAAGAAAGTATCAAAAACAGTTATAGCTGAGCCCAATACTAACTGTCCCTATTGACCCCTTGTTTAGCTAATCCATCTACCGTAGCATTAGCTGTTTTCCTAACCCAAGAGATTTTCAAGTTCATGTTTCTGGTTATCCAGTTAAACTTTTTCATCTCATCCCTAAAACACCAAATAATAGACTTTGGATCCTTCAGCCACCCTATCACTTTTTTGAATCCCCTTCAATCTCCACATTTGTCAGGCCCACATCACTTGCAATCTGTAGCCCTGTCATAGCCACAAGCAATTCTGTTCTAATGGAATCCCCCACTCCCACAGGACCGGATAATAGTGCATTGATAATCCCTTCTTTATTTCTCAGCACCCCCCATGCCTGAAGGGGGGTCTAGGTTGCCTTGACTACTCCCATCAAAATTTAATTTTACAAAGTCTGCAACTGGGGTTTTCCAATAAAGTCTATCCTTTTTCTTTTCTGGAAGAACTTCTAGCCACTACCCCCCAATTTCTCCAGATATCATCAAAGGACCAAGATGAAAAGAATCCATGGTTCTAAGCTAATGTATCACCCTTACCGATATGCAGTCTCTTACCGCTTCTATGCATCTCTCCTTTCTTGAGAAAATTTTATTATTTCTTTCTTCCCAAAGAGTCCATATTATTGCTGCTCTAGCACTTCTCCACATAATCCTTCCCCTCCTTTTAGGCCAAACAAAGGCCAAAGGGTCAAAAAACTTTATCTACCTCCGTTGGCAAGGACCACTTACAACCAAACAAAGAGAAAAGCCAATCCCATATATCTGAAGCAAAGGGGCAAGTATTAGTAAGTAGTAACAATTTCCTTCATTAATTGATAGGAAAAAACAATTTTCTTCATTAGATTTACAAAGGGTGTACCAATTTGGGGATAAGCATAAAAGAGTCTTCTTTTTTGTAGC